CGCTGCACCACACTGCACCTCATTGCACCTCATCACCAACCCCCCGTCACCAGGCACGAGCGTCCCTACCCTGTGTGGAGCGCCTTTTACCCGACTCTGACGACCCTCTGCCTTGGCACTCTGAGTCGATTCTAAGTATACCCCTCATCGCGCTTTGTTTCCCCTCATTGGCCCCCCACTCACCAGGCACGTGCGTCCCTACCATGTGTGGAGCGCCTTTTACCCGACACCGACGACCCGCTTCCCTTGCACGCAGCACTCCTCATCAAAGAGGGTCGCACTGACGACCTCCCCTCCATCCTCTCCTCCCTCGCCGCCTCCTCCACCTCGTCCGGTTCGGCGCCTGCCGAGCCTGGGACCGAGCCTGGCGTAGCGGCGGGAGGGGAAGCTGGTGGAGGGGCGGGCGCAGGGGTACAGGGGGGAGAAGGGGGTTTCAGTCGTATGCAGTCGGCGCGGCTGCTGTCGGCGCAGGCAGCAGCAATGGCAGGGCGGTGGGCACAGGCAGCAGATGAGCTGGGGCAAGTGGAGGGGATCCAGCACAGGCCGGCTGTTGTGGCAACGCTCATGGACCTCAAGGTGTGTCATTTTGACTGTGATGTGAGGAAAGCTTGGGGGAAGGCTGGGGAATGGGTTGTTGGGGGGGCTGGGGGCAAGCGGAGGGCATTCAGCACAGGCCAGCAGTTGTGGCAACGCTCATGGATCTTAAGGTGGGCTGGTGTGGAGTATAGTGGGGGGAGGGCTGGGGGGACGTCTGGAGTGGCAGGGCTTGGGGGAGAGAGCTGGGGCAAGTGGAGGGCATTCAGCACAGGCCGGCAGTTGTGGCAACGCTCATGGATCTTGAGGTGGGCTGGTGTGGAGGGTAACGCGAGAAGGGGTGTGGGGAGGGCTGGGGAGGATTTGAGGGAGAATCTTTGTCTTTTACCCTTCTTGATTTTCGAAATTTGCCGCTGTATTCGTGCAGTCCTATTCTTTGAGGCGCCTCAAAAGACGATATTTAGGCGCCTCAAAAGTCGGTCTTGCGATCCCATCCTACGCTCCTTCCTGCTGCAAAGTGTGTCGTGAATCGTGTAGAAAGTGAGAGGGACACAAACATTCGCTAGATATCCTTTTGTCTCACATACGCCCTGTCTCACATTCCTCTAGCACATCTCTAATTTCTACTTTTCAATAGCTCTCCTCTCCTGTCCTCTCCTTACTTCACCCGCGCGTTTTCCTGCCCTGTCTCTCTCTCTCTCTCTCCTCCCATCTGGTGTGCATGCATGTGTGGTGTGGTGCAGGAGAGGGCAGGGGACGTGGCAGGAGCCAAGGCGGTGGTGGATGCGGCAGTGGAGTGGTGGCAGAACCACATGGATGTCGCCTCTGCCACTGACCTTGTAAGTAGTTTCTTTTCTTAGTTGACTCAAAATCATCTCCGGCTGTTGGCGCGGTCATGGATACGGCGGTGGACTGGTGGGCAGAACCACATGGACGTTGCTGCCTCTGCCACTGACCTTGTACGTGCCATGTAGTCTGTTTCTTAGGCCCCTCTCTTTTTGAGGCGTCTGTTTTCGAGGTGCCTTGAATACAAGGCGGCGGTGGTGGATGCGGCAGTGGAGTGGTGGCAGAACCACATGGACGTTGTTGCCTCTGCCAGGCGGCCATCCGAGAGACGCTGCTGCGATCAGCAGCGGAGTTATGCTTTCTTTCTCACCCCCCCCTTCTCCCCCCTGCTCCCCCCTTCTCCCCCCTTCTCCCCCTGCTTCCGCACCTCCCTCCAGGCCTCTATCCGAGAGGCCCTGCTGAGAGCAGCAGCGGAGTTCAAGGCGCGGCATGGGGCAGCGCAGCAAGCAGCGGATGATTGGCAGGCGCTGAGGAAGCTAGCTGCCAGCCCCACGCTCAAGACACAGGCGCTCGCAGGACTGGTCTCCTGCACGTCCCAAGTGGACCCAGGTATGCCGTTGGTGCGGTGTGGGCGCAGGTGAGGTTCAGAAGAGGGTGCAGGTGATTGCGCATTTGTGGCTGTAGGCTAGTAGGTGATTTCCGGGGCGTCTCAAAGTCGACTGGCAGTCAGGCGCTGAGGAAGCTAGCTGCCAGCCCCACGCTCAAGACACAGGCGCTTGCAGGGCTGGTGTCGTGCACCTCCCAAGTGGACCCAGGTATGGTCTTGGCCCGTGGCCTGTAGGTGATTTTGAGGCATCTCAGCAGGCGACCTGCAGGCGCTGAGCTGAAGAAGCTGGCGGGCGCTCAAGGCACAGGCGCTCGCAGGGCTGGTCTCCTGCATGTCCCAAGTGGACCCAGGTTTGCCATCAGTGTGGGCGCTTGGCCCATTGTTGAGTTTTGAGGCGGCTAAAAAGTCGGCTGGCAGGCAGGCGCTAAGGAAGCTGGTGGACAGCCCCACACCACACTCCAGGCACAGGCGCTCACAGGGCTGGTCTCCTTCACAACCCAAGTGGACCCAGGGGTATGGCATCGGTGATTGTGGCATGTTGTGCAAGGACGGATAAAATCATTGAAGTTGGAGTAGAGTGTTATCAACACCTGGTCCTGACTCTTCTCTCCCCCTCTTTACCTTCCCCCCCTCCTCCCCTCCTTTCCTTCCCCCCTTCTCACCTGGTGTTCTCCATCCTTATGCACATACCACCTCTTCCCACACCTCACAACCCCTGTGCCACACCGCCTGTAACCGCTAAGAAGCTAGCCATGGAGCTCCCACCCATGCCTGGCACATCAGGCCCGGCACATCGGGCCTTGAACACTTTCAAAACTTTCAAAAAGTTATGCGAGTCTCTAAGACCCCTGCCCACCCCTGTGCCACACCGCTTGCAGTAACGGCTGAGAAGCTAGCCATGGAGCTCCCACCCATGCCTGGCACATCAGGCCTGGACGTCTCCTCTCTCCTGCAGCGCCCCGGCCCGTCCACCTTCTCCCACTCGGCTGCTGCCGCTGCTCGTGCAGCCAAGCGCCCTGCTCCTGACGACGAGTCTGCTGCTGCCTCTGCCGCTGCTGCAGCGAGCGAGAGGGCCCGAGCTAAGAAGAAGCGCAAGCGGAAGGTGATTCTGCCGAAAGGGTTTGATCCGGCGAATCCCGGACCTCCCCCGGACCCGGAGCGGTGGTTGCCGAAGCGGGAACGGTCGAGCTTCCGGCCGAAGAAGAAGGATAAGAGGAAGGTGGATGTGCGGGGGGCGCAGGGGGCGGCGGTGGTGAAAGGGGAGAAGACAGAGGGTGGGGGTGTGGTGGGGGGGCTTACTGGTGAAGGTGATGGTGGGAAGGGAGGAAAGGCAAGTGCGGCGGCGGCTGCTGCTGCGGCTGCTGGGAAGGGAGGGGATGGAGGGAAGAAGAAGGGAGGGGGAAGGAAGGGGAGGCGGTGAGAGGTGGGAGAAGAGGGGGAAGAAGGAAGAGGGGGCGGGTGGGGGAGTGTGTGGGAGGTGGGAGAGGGGAGAGCAGGAAGGGCTGGTCTTTTGCTGGCTAACATAAGTACTCAAGAAGGTAAGGTAATTCTGCATGATTTATGGAGGATGGCTGCATGGACTAGCTGACAACCAGATACCGTTTGTTGGCCCTGGTGTTATGAGATGGCCTTGTTACAGGACAGAAAAATGTACGACTCCCTTCAAATGGGGTCATTTTCACAAAGATCCAAGGTTCATTTTTTTGTTGGCTGCTGAAATACGGTACCTATTTTCACCGGGCACCTAATTTTCGTCCCCAGAAGGACACCATCGGACCAAGGAGAGAGCTCCACAGTCTCAAAAGTGCGCTTTTGATAAACTTGAGCCGCCTCGGATTGGCTGGTGGTGAGGAGGCGGTGTTGCTTCGGCGGCGCAACCAAAACAGCATTCCTGTTCTGCTTTGCCCGCTGCGGGCAACTGCTTCCGCTGCGGACAACTGCCACAAGTGTTCGACCTGCTGCTCACCAACTGCCCTCGGGATCAACCATGCTTCGGCGGGTGGGAGCGTTTCTTATCGCTCAAACCGCAGTAAATCTCATGTAACCGCGTAGTACCGGTAGTAAACGATCTCACGCGAGTAGCGCACAGGCGGAACTGGTTGTTGGGTTGCGGGGAGCGGAGGTAGGATGTTCCCGAGAAGCCTTTTTCACGCGGTTCAAGCTGGACGGGTGTGTTCGGAGCGTGTTGTTGTAAGTGCTTCTTTCCTTTGCTCAAATCGAAACCCTATTCCAACGTTCTGAATTGCTAACAAACCGCTCTGTCACGCAAAACACCGCATGTCCTGTCACACTGTTTTCCAGGTTTGTTTGGTCCCCTGAAAAGCTCCTAAATCGCCTACTAGCTGCTAAAGTTTTGGGTCCAGCGCTTGTACCGCTAGTAAAGTGCCTGTACCCAAAGCAATGTCCTCACCATTTGTGCCCTAAAATCAGTTCAGACGGGTACTACCGAGCTCCTTCAGTTTCTTAGCTCCGGGGTTTCGGGGTTACCTTGTCCTTTTGTTGAGCTATTGTAGAGCAGAGGAGCCATTTGGTGAATACGTATTCATGGTCAGACATTGCAATCCATAGTGGTCGAAGCAGGCGAGATCCAGTCTCGAACTTCCATAGTGGCCAGGCAGAGACACAGGGAGGGAGGCACGGAGAGAGGAAGGCAGGGAGGCAGGCAGAGAGGCGCGGAGGCAGGCGTGGAAGCTGGGAGGTCTCGAAAATGATTTCTTGTAACAGCTAATCGGGCCTTGCGTAGTCCCACGATACGACGGAGTAGCTACTGAGATTCGCCGATCGTCCATCGGGATTAGATTTGAAAAAGAGTGCCGGCCATTGCGGTCGTATATTTTCGTCGTCTCGTCGCCTCGCTCTCTGATTCCACCGCTCTCGCTGCAGCGCACATATCGTTTGAAGAACATCCCATCCACCGCGTTCGTCAGACGTTTTCAGAGACGTCTTCGACGATTTGCGGCGGTTCTGACGGTTTCCGGCGGTTTCTGACGGTCGCGCGCGGATCCTGTTGGTTACTCGCGGATTCTGACGGTTCTCACGTTTTCCGACAGTTTCTAACGGTTCCCTCCCATCAATGGCCGGCGGTCATCATGACGACGGCTCGACCTACAGCCCCCGCATCGCCTTCATGTAAGCCTTTAGGTCGGTCGGAGTTCCAATCACCTTATCATACTGGCGACTTTTTAAAAATACTGGTGATTTAAGAAACGACTCATTTTCAAAAAACCATATTAGAATCACTTTCGAGAGCTCTGAATGACGATCCCCGGTAAGCTTCGAGCCTGGATGAGGGGGTGCCTTGTTATGAGCTTGGGGGAAAACTGCTTCCGAGAAACTGGGTCGTCTCAGTCTTTTTCCCGTTTCCGTCGCGGATCCGTGCTTGCTAAGTGACTGATCCCTTTCCCATCCCCTTTTCCCCTTCCTCCGCCCTTTCCCCCTCGTCCTGCTGCTCTATTCACCGCGCGCACCTGTTTCGCGTCAGTTTAGCGTCTCCGTAGCCCACTCTTCGTCTCCATCACATTAGATTAGCATTCAAGGACCGCATTCAACTCTGCGTCGTCCAGTGTGTGGGTCTGTTTTTGTAACCCTTCCCCCCAGTATTCCCTTCTCATTTGGCTGGCCCCCTCCCTTGACCCCCTCCTGTGTCATTTCCGCGTAGATTCGATCTGTACTCGTTCCTCCCTGTGTTTACCCTGCCCCGCCGTCCCTCCCGTGTCATTTCCGCCATGCCGTGTTTCCCTCCCTCCCTCGCTCTCTCCCTCCCTCCCTTCGCTGCCTGCCTGCCTGCCGGCCTTCCTGCCTGCCTGCCTGCCTGCCTACCCCTCCGCACCGTCAGCTACGTCTTCAACCTTATCGTGGGCACGGGGGCCCTCGCCCTCCCGTCCGTGCTCACAACAGGAGGATGGGTGCGTGCGCACTGCCCCCTCACTCTACCCTTTCCATTCCCATTTTACTCCTCTGAGCCCCCGAGTTTTTTTGTCTATTTGGAAAAGAGCCGCTTTTTTTTCTGAGCTTCTAACAGGAGGCTGGTTGTATGTTCCCCTGGGTCAGATTTCTCATTCCCATCTTTGTTTGAGTCAATTCGTACTCCAGAAATGTCCCCCCCAATTTCCTCGCGTCGACCCCCATTATCTCCTCTCCTCTCCCTTCTTTATCCAGCTGTGAGTTGACTCAAATGTCCTTCTCAAGTCCTCTGTCCCTGTGACCACCTTTCCTGTCCCCTCTTTCCCTCCTTTTCTCCCTCCCTCCATCTCTCCCTCCCCCCCTCTTTGCCCTCCCCTTTCTCTTTTCGCTCCCCCCTCCCCACTTCCGCATCCGCGCTCCCCCCAGGTTCTTGGAACTCTCTTTCTTCTCCTCGTTGCATTCACCAGGTACGAACCTCCTTTTGCCTTCACACACCACATGCCTCTTTTCAGTAACAATCTCCCCTTCCCCCTTCCCTCACCCTTCCTTCCCCTCACCCTTCCTTCCCCTCTCCTTCCCGCTTTCCCCCCACCCGCCCCTTTCTCGGTCCTCCCTCCGCCCCCTCCCCCCCTTCCCATTCTCCGTCCTACCCTTTCTTTTCCATTCGTTATGCTTCATTGTTTCCTTTCTTTCAACAAGGATTCGTACGCCATTCGTTCAGTATAGCCTCGTTTCAAGCCCCATTGTGCCTTGCCTGAGTCCTGACCATGTATGCATGCACGCAACCATGTTCCCGCCCACCACACCCGCCCAGCCCCCCTTCCCCGTGGCCCTCCCGTGCCCTCTTCGCCCCCCCTGTACACGTACACAACACCCCCCACCCCACCCCGCTCCGCCTTCTTTCCCCATCCGTTCCCCCCCGTGCCAGTTTCGTGGGAGTGACGTTCATGATTGAGAGCATGGCTGCGGCAAATGCTCTCAGCACTATACGCCATGCACAGGTGGGTTGTTGTGCGCTTTTGGGTCGACCGTAAATACATACTAAAGAATCGCATTTGCTGTGTGTGTGTGACGCTGTCTGTGCATGTAACCTCCTTCTTAACTCTCTTGGCGTCGACTGATCCTCTCCTCCTCCTGCATCTGTGACGTTCTGCCGTTCATGTGTTTCTCCCTCCTTTTCTCCATTCTGCCATGCTGCCATGCCTCCTTGCCCCCCTGCCGCCCTGCTGCCATGCCATGCTGCCATCGCCATGCCGCCATGCCGCCATGCTGCCATGCTGCCACGTGTGCAGGACGGGCAGTACGTGTCAGACACAGAGCCGTTGATCAGTGATGGTGAAACGGCTGTGATGCTCAATGGCGGATCTGAGAGCGATGGGGGCAATGCACGTGCAGGAGGAGCGGGGGGAGGGGGAGGGGGAGGGGGAGGGCTAGGGGGAAGCGGAGGGGGCGGAGGAGGGGGCAGCAGCAGCAACGGGGGAGGGCCGTTTGAGATCGTGCAACGAATGGAAATGGCACAGATGGCGGTGAGGGATTGGGTGGAATGGCGGTGAGGGGTTGGGTGGAATGGCGGTGAGGGGTTGGGTGGAATGGCGGTGAGGGGTTGGGTGGAATGGCGGTGAGGGGTTGGGTGGAATGGCGGTGAGGGGTTGGGTGGAATGGCAGTGAGGGGTTGGGTGGAATGGCGGTGAGGGGCTGGGTGGAATGGCGGTGAGGGGTTGGGTGGAATGGCGGTGAGGGGTTGGGTGGAATGGCGGTGAGGGGTTGGGTGGAATGGCGGTGAGGGGTTGGGTGGAATGGCGGTGAGGGGTTGGGTGGAATGGCGGTGAGGGGTTGGGTGGAATGGCGGTGAGGGGTTGGGTGGAATGGCGGAGAGGGGTTGGGTGGAATGGCGGAGAGGGGTTTGGTGGAATGGCGGTGAGGGGCTGGGTGGAATGGCGGTGAAGTGAAGGATTGGGTGGAATGGCGGTGAGGGGCTGGGTGGGTTTGCTGCTTGGGTGAGCCGGCGCAGAGGTGGCTGAAGCGGTGGTGGTGGTTGAAGGAGAGAAGGGAAAGGGGAAAGGGGATGCGGCAACGAGCAGAAACGAGCAAGTGGTGATGCTGAGAGTTGGGGGAGGGGGAGGGGTGGGCAGGCAAACAAGAGGGATTCTGGGAGCAAGAGGGAGAGTCGATTTTTGAGTCGACTCAAAAGAGGGAGAATAGGCACAGGGTGTTAGGAATCCCTCTTGGGGAGGATTAGGCTTGGGCGAGGGCGTGGGTTCTAACGTTTTTTTGTCCAGACTCCAGAGTGGAACGGAGTGTGTGTGGGGGGGTTCTTGTTGAGTGGATGGGGCGAGAGTGGATGGAGAGGGAGTGGAATAGACGCTGTGAATGGGTTGACGCATCGCTCTTCTTGTGTCCTTGCCCTTTCTCCTTTGCACATCCCTCCCCTTTGCTTCCGAGCCCCTTGCCATTCCCCGATGCCACATCTCTTCCACCCACCCACCGTACGCACCCACCCACTCGTCCTCTGCCTCCTCTTCGCCCATACCTTTTAAGGTGCCTCAAGCACCGTACGCCCACTCCGTACGCTCCCACTCCCACTCCTCCTCCTCTTCATCCCTCCCTGCTAACTCCTCCCTTTCCATTCCTTTCGCCCAGCCTCTCTCTCCCCTTTTTCCTGCCCCTCCCTCCCTCTCCTGCCCCTTGCCACCCCTCTCTACCCATCCCTGCCCATCTTCACCTCTCCATGCCCATCTCTCTATCCCTCCATGCTCCTCTGTACCACGCTCTGCCCCTCTGTACCTCTATCTGCCCCTCCCTGCCCCTCCCTGCCCCTTGCAGGACATGTTTTTCAGTGACTGGGGGCGAATATTCTTCTACATTGCCCTCATTGTGAGTCGCTCCTCCTTTCCCTTTCCCCTCTGTTTCATATCCGCCAGTAGTTGGCCCTTTTTTCCTATGCATTGCAACCAACTCACTTTTGTTTCGTCACCGCTACTCATTCATTCAACAGTTCATCACTCTATATCTCACGTACTCCCCTTCTTCTCGTTCTCCACCCACCCCCCAATCCAACTTCAATTCTCCCTCTTTCCCCCTTACCTCTCTCTTTACTTTCCTTTAATTCCCCCACACCAGCTGTACCTATTTGGAGATGCAGCCGTTGGAGTCTACTTAGAAGCTTCTTCTCTGTCACTCTCTCCATCTATCTCTCTCAATCTATCTCGCTCCCTATCTCTCTCCCTATTTCTCTCCATCTATCTATCTCCATCTGTCCCTCTCCATCTGTCCCTCTCCATCTGTCTCTCTCCATCTGGCTCTCTCCCGTTCCCTCCACAACAGCTGTACCTGTTTGGAGACGCGGCCATCTACTGCACCTTTGTGCCGCGCTCCCTCGTGGCCTTCTTCTTTCCAGAGAACCCCCCGCCCTGGGCCTTTGACGCCTTCCTCGTGCTCTTTGTTGCTGTCATCGTCCCCTTCTGGTGCGTGCTGCTGCCGCTGTTGCTGCCGCTGTTGCTGCTGCTCCGTACTCCACTGCTGCCTGCCTGCCTGCCTTCCCACCTGCCTGCCTGCCTGCCTGCCTGCCTGCCTGCCTTCCCACCTGCCTGCCATCCTGACTCCCTCCCTCCTCCCCTCCCCCCCCCCCCCCCCTGCTCCCTTGCTTCCTGCCTCCCACCCTCCCTATTGTCCTGCCCATCCTCCTCACACACCCGTCACAGCACTTTCAGTTGGCACTGTCGCTTTCTTTTGCTCTCACTCCCCTTTTCCCCCCTTACTCTCATCTCACGCCCTCCTCCCCCGTGTTGCTCTATCCCCCCTCGCCTCTTTTCCAACTGCCTCTGCTGCTTTGTGCCTCCCCTTGCCCATCCGCCTTTTCCCCCACCCCTTTCCCCTCAGCTTTTTTTACTTCCAAAATACGTGTTTTGAGTCGACTCAAAACTTATCCCCTTTTCCCCCCCACCCCTCTCCCCCCAGCTTCTTTGACTTCCAAAAGACCAAGCCCCTGCAAATCGTCACCATGGTATGCGATGTTATGCGATGCCATGCGATGTGGTGTGGTGTGGGGTGGGGTGAGGTGTGGTGTGGTGGGATGGGGTGGGTGGGGTGTGCTTGGCGGTGGGATGTGATGTGTGACATCATGTCACGTGGAATTCATGGGATTTGGAGGGCGAGAGGGTGAGCAGGGGGGGAAGTGGGCACAGGAGGAAATCTAATGGCAACGAGTTTAGGAAGATTCATGTCCATTTGGTTCTCAGCATTCGTTTATCGATGCTTGTCATGTCACCTCCACCCTACTCCGTTCCACCCCACTCCACTCCACTCCACTCTTCTCCACTCCACTTCAAAACACTCCTAACTGTCTCTTCTCCCTCCCTCTACGTCCTCCTCTTTACCTACTACACCCATCCCCACCTATTTGTACGCCCATTGCTGCATAACCAGGTCATTCGAAACGCTGCCATTACAACGTAAGCATAGACACCTGAAACACCGCCCCACACAACCCCCTTCCTGCGCTCCTAGTTGCTCCTTTCCCCTTCACCCCCCTCTCTCAGCCCTCCCCAGTCTCTGCCCTCTTTTCTCATCCTTTCTGCGCACTCTTCGTTTTCCCTTTTCCTCTTCCCTCCAACGCTCTCTCTTCCCTCCCTCTTCAAACCGCGCACACGCCTATGTTCGCCTCTTCATCCCCCATGCCCCGCACTCCCCTCACGCCCGGTGTGCTCGCCCATCACCCCATGCTGACTTTTGAGTCGACTCAAAAGCCGGTGTGCTCGCCCATCACCCCATGCTGACTTTTGAGTCGACTCAAAAGCCGGTGTGCTCGTCCATCACCCCATGCCTCGCGCCTTTATCCCATGTCTCACCTCAGACCATGATACCACTCTTTACCTGTCAGTCACCCTGTGCCTGTATCATACAGGCTGTATGTCTAACCCTTGCAGCATGAATGTGATTACTCTGCATGCATGGGCGGCATGTTTCTGTTCATGCGCCCCGAAACTCACACACTCACCTGTTGCCCTGTGCCTGCACCTCTTCCCCACGCAGCATGATTGTGATTGCTGCATGGGTGGCATACTCCGAAGGCCCTCGCACCACTGGAGTGCCTAATTTCAGAGTCACGTAAGCACCCTTGCTGCCTTGCTGCCTCTCTGCCTCTCTGCCACCTTTCATTGCTGCCTTGCTGCCTCGCTGCTATCTTTCCTTCCTCCTCCCGTCTGAAGTTTCCAGTTCCTCTAAGCTGTGGTCTGGTTTCTGTAAATTTCCCTGGCTGGTCCATTCTCAAAGACCATACGCCGTCTCCTCCCTCCTCCTTCCCTCCTTCTTCCCTCTCCGCCCCTCTCTCTGCTCTGCCTACCCTTCCTTTTTACTCGCTGCAGTCGCGGCCTTGCCGAACCCATTTTGTCTGCCGAACCTCTTTCTGCCCGCCCTCCCCTGTACGTCTGCAGTGCCCTGCCGAACCTCTTTGGTGGCGCCGTTTATGCATTCATGTGCCATCACAGGTGAGTGGCATCACAGGTGAGTGGCATCACAGGTCAGTGCCACGACAGGTCAACTAAAAAGTCCTCTCCTTCAGTTTTACATGTGTAACTTGTCCCACAAAAATAATCCAAGAGAGGCCTATCCCAATGTCTGCTCTCATCTCCCCACCCCTCTCCCCCAGTCTCCCCGGCATCATCACGCCCATGAGGGAGAAGTCCTTCATCCGTGTGGTGCTCGTGTCCCCCCCTGTCCCCGCTTCCCCCTCCCTCTCTCCATGTGCACTCCCTGCCCCTACAACACTCCCGAAACCCCCATCATCCCCCCCAGTCTCCCCGGCACCATCACGCCCATGAGGGAGAAATTCTTCATCCGCGTGGTTCTCCTCTTTCCCCCTCTCCATCTTCCCCTCCACTCCACCCAACGCGCTCCCTTTCCCCAACATTGTTCCTCCCCCAACCCCTCTCCCCCAGTCTCCCCGGCATCATCACGCCCATGAGGGAGAATTCCTTCATCCGTGTGGTGCTCGTGTCCCCCCCTGTCCCCGCTTCCCCCTCCCTCTCTCCATGTGCACTCCCTGCCCCTACAACACTCCCGAAACCCCCATCATCCCCCCCAGTCTCCCCGGCACCATCACGCCCATGAGGGAGAAATTCTTCATCCGCGTGGTTCTCCTCTTTCCCCCTCTCCATCTTCCCCTCCACTCCACCCAACGCGCTCCCTTTCCCCAACATTGTTCCTCCCCCAACCCCTCTCCCCCAGTCTCCCCGGCATCATCACGCCCATGAGGGAGAAGTCCTTCATCCGTGTGGTGCTCGTGTCCCCCCCTGTCCCCGCTTCCCCCTCCCTCTCTCCATGTGCACTCCCTGCCCCTACAACACTCCCGAAACCCCCATCATCCCCCCCAGTCTCCCCGGCACCATCACGCCCATGAGGGAGAAATTCTTCATCCGCGTGGTTCTCCTCTTTCCCCCTCTCCATCTTCCCCTCCACTCCACCCAACGCGCTCCCTTTCCCCAACATTGTTCCTCCCCCAACCCCTCTCCCCCAGTCTCCCCGGCATCATCACGCCCATGAGGGAGAAGTCCTTCATCCGTGTGGTGCTCGTGTCCCCCCCTGTCCCCGCTTCCCCCTCCCTCTCTCCATGTGCACTCCCTGCCCCTACAACACTCCCGAAACCCCCATCATCCCCCCCAGTCTCCCCGGCACCATCACGCCCATGAGGGAGAAATTCTTCATCCGCGTGGTTCTCCTCTTTCCCCCTCTCCATCTTCCCCTCCACTCCACCCAACGCGCTCCCTTTCCCCAACATTGTTCCTCCCCCAACCCCTCTCCCCCAGTCTCCCCGGCATCATCACGCCCATGAGGGAGAAGTCCTTCATCCGTGTGGTGCTCGTGTCTCCCCCTGTGTCCCGCTTCCCCCTCCCTCTCCCCATATGCACTCCCCGCCACGCTCACCGTTTAACCCCCATCTCCCCCCCCCCCCCCCAGTCTCCCCGGCATCATCACGCCCATGAGGGAGAAGTCCTTCATTCGTGTGGTGCTCCTCTCGGCCTTCCTGGGCGTCTTCCTGCTCTACCTGCTGCTCTTCCTCTCCTGCGGCATTGCCTTTGGTGCGTGGGAAGGGGCTTGGAAGCATGTGAGGGGGTGGATGGAAGCATGTGAGGGGCTGGTAGCGTGCAGGCACATGCGAGTATGCCCTTCCTGGGCGTCTTCCCGCTCTACCTGCTGCTCTTCCTCTCCCGCGGCATTGCTTTCGGTAAGAGAGTCGTCTCAAAGCTCGGAGTGCCACGAACCAACCATGGATGAGAGCATGCGTGCTTCTGCGGTTGTGCAAGTATGCCGCCTTTTGAGCACGTGCGTCCATCTACCCATTGCAACGCTTTGCACTTTTCCTCTGCCTGTGGGTGTGGTTGTTGGTGTTTGTTGCTCGCTCCTGCCGTGTGAGTGTGTGCGCGCTCAAGTGGTGCGTGTGTGTGATGTGTGATGCCCCGTGTGCGCATGTGTGTGTGGCTGACTGGCATGTGTGTGTGGCTGACTGGCATGTGTGTGCTGTGCTGTGCTGCACTGCAGGCATGGGAGCAGAGGGTCCTATCACCTTCAACTTCTTTTGAGGCGCCTCAAAAGTCGTCTCATTACCCGCAATTTTTATACCCATCGGATTTTTGCAGGCGTGGGAGCAGAGGACCCGATCACCTTCAACTTCTCTCCAGCCAAGTTTGGCTGGATCGGGGACCTCCTCTTTCTCTTCCCAGGTGCTGTTATTAGTAAACAGGTGGGCTGCGGAGGTCTGATGTCCATCAACTTGTATGCTAGATCGTATTTTAGTAAGCCAAGTTTGGCTGGATCGGGGACCTCCTCTTTCTCTTCCCAGGTCCGTACCTCTTTCTTTCCCAAGTCCGTGCATCTTCCAAATTCCGTACCGCTTCGTAGGTCCATGCTTGCTGCATACATACATACACGGGGATGACATGCTTTTTTCTTGTGAAACCTGCAGACTTGTTTCCTTCTGAACGACCACCCATGTCCTTTCTTGCCCCAGCTACAACGCATCTCTTCCCCATCTTTCTCTCAACGCTCCCCCCTATTTCTTTCCCCCATATTTCCCCCGTATGTTCCCCATCTCTCCCCCATGCGCCCTCCAGTGGTAACCCTATCCTCCAACTACCCCATGCTCACCATCACTCTGCGCAACAACCTCGACACGCTGCTCACGCTGCTCTTCCCCAAGGGCTCTCCACTCTTCCCCGCCGCCCCCGCCTTCTCCCCCCGCCTTCCCCCGCGCCCCTCGCGCTTCTCTGACTCCCCTGGGGGGGGCACGGGGGGAGCGGAGAGGGGGGTGCGAGTGTCGGCGAAAGATAAGAAGGCGGTGGCGTGGCGGAGAGTGATGGTGACGCTGCTGGCCACGGTGCCTCCCATCGCATGCTGTGTGATTGCAGAGGTACGAGGGGGGGAAGGGGGGAGGTGGGGGAGAGGGGTGCCGGTACTGGGGAAGGATAAGAAGGCGGTGGTGTGGCGGAGAGTGATGGTGACGCTGCTGGCTACAGTGCCCCCCATTGCATGCTGTGTGATTGCCGAGGTACGAGGGGGAGAAGGGGGAGGGTTGCAGTGGGGTTCTGGTTGGGGAGCATCGGTTGGGGTCGTGGCGTGGGGAGGGAGGCTGGGATGGGTTGCTGATGAGGCGATGGGATGCCAGGATGGGATGGGGAGTGGAGACGGGAAGGATAAGAAGGTGGTTGTGTGGAGGAGAGTGATGGTGACGCTGCTGGCGACTGTGCCTCCCATTGCATGCTGTGTGATTGCAGAGGTACGAGGGGGGCCGTGATGGTTTTTTTGGTGGTCTGGGATGTTGCCATTGCACTCTTTATCGCCTTCCATCCATCCGTTGCCCTCCTCGCCCCTCCCCTCCTATTCCTTATCTCGCCTCCCTCTCCCTCATGCGCGAACACGTCACTCATTCGTTGTCTCTCCTCTGTTCTTCTGCTTCCAACCTTTCTCGCCTCTCTGCCACCCCATTTTCACACAAGCACAGATGCACATGCACAGGTCACTCAACACATCTGCCAGCTCGATCCCCTCTCTCTCCCCCTTGTACCCATTCCCGTTCCAAAATTTTCCCCTCCCCTGATGTTCCCTCTCCCTCTCTTTCCCCACCCTCTCCCTCTCTTCCACCACCCTCTTCCCCCCGTTTCCCCCCCTCTCCTCCATGCTGGCAGCACAATGGGGTAAACGTGAACTCGCTGGTTGGAGCAACAGGGGCATATGCAGGAGCAGCAGTCATGTTCATCATTCCTGCATGCCTGGTGTACCGATCGCGATGGTCAGTAAATCTTGTTTGGGTGGGTCACTTGTGGGTCACTTGTAGTGTGGCATATGCAGTGTATCTTACTGTGTGTCAGGTGTCTAATGTGTGGCCTGTGTGACATGACATGGTGTGTTCTTCTCATGTCGGTTCTCTCTTTGGTTGGGATTGGGCTGGATGGTCGAATTGACAGTGGGGATTGGCTGACAGGTTGGAACACCCTGTTACATTTTTTTAAATCTTTCTTATCTGAAAACGGAATCCCCTGTCCCACCATCCCCCCCCCCCCCCCCCCCTCCCCTCTGCAACCCTCCCCTTGTGTTCACCTGTACGCCTTCCTTTATCACAGGATTCTGAATCAGGAACTGCCGCAGGATTTGGACGACTCTGCCCGTCGCAACGAGCCACACCCACTCAATCAGCATGCATCACCTTTCCGCAGCCCATTATGGGTCTCTTCGTTAGTGATTCTTGCTATTCTCGTCATTGCATTCATCTCTATTGATGAAATCTTGTACTGAACTGTGTGCTGGCCTTGCTGCTTGGCAACTGAAGCTGTTGGCTACATTGCTCTATGGTTATCTGTCGAATTTCTTTTTTCGGTCACTTGCAACTTCTTGGTGAGTGCTGAAGGCACCAAAGGTGCAATGTAAAGCCTGTTCAGTATCCTCAATGCTACCAGCATTTTTCTCTGCTTTAGACATTGTTGGAAAGAAAGTGGGTTGAGTCTAACTGTATGTTTGATGCGGATAATGCCTGCTCCCCTATTACGAACTCTGGAGCTGCTGTTTTTTCTTACCATGTGCTTGAGAAATCCATAAATTCCACCCGCTTTTGGCATCCGAAATATATACTAGCCTCCTAAGGTGGTGGAACGAGAAGGTGGGCCAGGCAATTGAGCCTTTAGTGGGGTATTCGCGTCCTTTTATACTGCCCGTTGTTACATTTTTCATTTTTCTCGTCCGGACGGCCAACCGTGCAATTGTACAGTGTAGATGTTCTCCTCGAGAAGCTGGTAGCGCATGACATTATCCAGTCTTGCGGCTTTTCCTCCCACCATTCTCTATTCAACGCCTTGCCACGTAATCCCACGTCAGCTCCACTGGCTTTGCCACGCATACCCACCCTTGCCATGGCGGAGATCCTCGGCAGCGCAACTCCCCACCTGCGCCTTCATTCTCCATGACCGCACGGTTGCGGTTCCTGCATGTGCAGTTTGCCTCGTGCTGCGCGCAGTCAGTGCACTTTGCGGCAGGCCTGACAAGGTCTTGGGCGATGTGCGCGCGCGAAGTTGAAAATGATTTTCGTCAGGCACTGTCGGAAACAAAAATCTTGGACCTGCCAGAACCACGCAATTGAGTCCAAAAATCTTTGTGCGATACACTTTTCTATGCGCCATTTCAAAATCTTTCGTGCCCTTGGGAACTACTAAAACTCCTCTCTCCTCGAGAAATGCTCGCAACCTATTCGTACCAATATTCCCACCCGTCATACGTGATTCATATTTCAATCTAAATCGAATCACCATCTCCTCGGTCAGTTCTTTCTGCTGGTCAACCTGCCCAGCTCTTATCTGTTTTGACCTCCTGATCTCAAATCTCTCCCTCAGCTGTCTACTGTTTACGAATTCTGCCCTCACCTGCTTCACTAACTTCCTCCCTTCGCCCTTCCATTCCACCCACGCCTTCCCTTTCCCCAGCACGTCTCCCCCCCATTCACCACCTCATTGGCCCCTCTCCTTCACTCACGCCGTCCTTCACTCCCTCGCCCTTTCCCCCCACCCACCCTCCCCAGTTTCCTCCAGTCAACCAATCCTCCTCCGCCCCTTGCCCTACCTCACACCACCTGAAATTCTTTGCCTCGTCCCATCCCACCTCGTCACCACATTGCAGTCCAGTCCAGGGTCTTTTCCTCAGCGCGCGTGGCGTGGTGTGCCGTGGCGGTTTTGGGCATTGAATGCGGCAATTAACTACAACACTTGCATTAGCTCATTCTACCATACCTCCGCTAATCACGGAGGATACCAACCGCCGCAGTCCGCGAGCGTGCATGCTTGTGGCTCTCGCGCTGGTCGCAGCTTCTCAGCACTGCGAGTGCCCAGGTTATAAAAACCCTTTCCTTCAGCATCCTTCTAAAGGCGTTTAGACTTCGAAAGCGCCGTGCCTCCCGCCTGGGACCGCATTTCCTCACTGAAGACGCCTAAATCCTGCTGTTCCTCCTCATTCCAGCTAGAAGCCTAATTAATTACACGGTTCGTAGCTATCATCTATCCTCACTCTCGTCAACCCGCAATAGCATCGTCGTGTCGCTGCGATTTTGAGGAGAAAATCCGCCTGTCATTTACGCGTGAATTCCTTTTCCTCGTGCCCACACACTCCTACTCCTCCTCATCACCATTCTTTCTCCCCCTCGCCTCCTCTCCGCCTCTTCTTCCGCCGCACCGCCCTGTCCGCGCATTACACATTCCGCGGCCCGCCTCGCCTTTCCCGCATCACCCTTCGCGTTGTCGCTTCACGTCAAAGCCCGCATTAGGAGCTGAGCCGGCATCTCACCATGCAGCAGGTCTCCCCCGTGCTTCACGGCGTGTGGCCCGGCGCGCAAATGCCGGTCGGCCCACAGCAGCAGCAGCAGCAGCAGCCGTCGCTTTCTCTGCTGCAGCAGAGCGCCCCGGCCGCGCCGGCCCCCGCCGGCGGCGCTGGTGCCGGCACCGGCGGCGGCGGCGGGGGGCAAGAGGAGGTTAAGACCCTGTGGGTGGGCGATTTGCAGTATTGGATGGACGAGAATTACCTCTGGAACTGCTTCGCGCACACAGGCGAGGTGAGCGCGCAAGAGCGAGTTGGGCGCGCAAGTGCGGGGTGGGCGCGCACGGGTGGGGTGGGCGCCCACGGGCGGGGTGAGCGCAAGAGGGGGGTGGGCGAGCACGGGCGAGGTGAGCGCGCACGGGTGGGGTGGGTGCGCACGGGTGGGGTGAGCGCGCACGGGTGGGGTGAGCGCGCACGGGGGAGGTGAGCGCGCACGCGCGGGTTGAGCGCGCAAGAAGGAAATGAGCGCGCATGGACCGGGTGGGCGCGCACGGGCGGGGTGATCAGAGGCGGGAGGCGGGAATAGCGCGTAGGCGGCAAGAGGGCACGGTCGGGCGCGGTGGGGTGATTGGCGGGTGGAGGGGAACGAGAAGCTGCAATCACGCGAGGCGGGAGAGAGAGTGAGTTGCGGGGCGAGAAAAGTGGCGGAATGTCAGGCAGTATCGGGGGTGCGGGGAGGAGAGCGGGGAGGGGTGCGGGGAGTTTTCAGGGGAGAGACCCCGCACAGCTCCCCCGCAAATGTCATCAAGGCGTGCGGGGAGAGCTGCGCGCTTGTTCACTGGGAGCGGGGGACTCGCGCACAGGGGACGGTTTCTGCGGCGCGGTTACTCTGGCGATTGAAGGACGGGTTTGTGTAGGCGGCGCGCGCACTCCACGCGAATTGCATGCTGCTGCGCTGTCAGGCGCGAGAGTCTCGTTCCCTCCTTCCGTTCGATTGTTTTCTCGTTTGCTTTTTTGCAGTTCCGTTGCATGCTGGGATTGCGCATGTACCCATTGCAAGCGTCACTGTTAAACGTCTCTCTCCCGACTTTTGAGACGTTTAAAAAAATTACTGCCCCGACTCCCTTGAGTGCTCGGTTAGAAGGCGTCGCGCCCTCAGTGCCACCAATGCCTCCGCGTCTCCCTCCTCCTCCTTCTCCGCCTCCCTCCTCCTCCTTCTCTCCGCCCCCCGCCCCTCCCCCCTTCCCCTTTCGCCCCCCGCGCCCCTACTCCCTCCCCCGTACAACCCTCCCTACCAGGTCCAGTCAGTGAATATATTCCGCAACAACAAGGCGACGGGGTACAGCGAGGGGTACAGCGAGGGGTACAGCGAGGGGTACAGCGAGGGGTACAGCGAGGGGTACAGCGAGGGGTACAGCGAGGGGTACAGCGAGGGGTACAGCGAGGGGTACAGCGAGGGGTACGGGCTCGGTCTTGTGGAGCCGAGTGGTTGCCGGACAAATGCCAGGCACCCCTCCCCTCCCCCTTCTCCCCCCTCCCCTCCCCCTTCTCCCCCCTTCCCTCCCCCTTCTCCCCCCTTCCCTCCCCCTTCTCCACCCTCCCCTCCCCCTTCTCCCCGCACCCCTCCCCCTTTTCCCCCCACCCCTCCCCCTTCTCCCCCCTTCCCTCTGCCGCCATCTCGTCTCCGCCCTCCCTCCCCCCCCCGCAGGTGCAATCGGTGAAGATCATTCGCAACAAGGCGACGGGGTACCGCGAGGGGTACGGGCTCGTTCTTGGGGGGCCATGGAGCCCTGTGGTTGTCAACTAACTTGCCTGCTTCCCTCTCCCTCCCCCTCCCCTTCCACCCCCGCAGGTGCAATCAGTGAAGATCATCCGCAACAAGGCGACGGGGTACAGCGAGGGGTACGGGTTTGTGGAGCTGTCGTCGCATGCGGTGGCGGGGAGTGTGCTGGGCATGTATGCGGGCACCGCCATGCCTCAGACCGACCAGCAGCCCTTCCGACTCAACTGGGCGAGCTTTGGCATGAATGACCGCCGGTGAGGGGGAGAGGGGTGTGGAGAAGGGGGAGGGGGGAGGGGGGGGGGGAAGAAGGGAGGGAGAGGGGGGTTTGGGGAGAATGGGAGGGGAGATATGCATGGGTGAATGGTGGTGAGACGGAAATGGAGGGGAGCGGCAGTAAGAGGGGGAGGACTGGCTGATGCGAGATGAACAACTGTCGGTGACTGACGCATGAATGAATGACCGACTACATTAAAATCACTTTTGAGAATGATCCCCCACCGCCACAAGCGAGGGGGATGATTTCTGGGCGAGCCCCGTTGCTCCTGTTCCCGCACTCTCCCGTCCCTCCACCCTCTCACTTTCTCCCCTCCCTTTTGTCCGCAACCACCCGCAACAGGCAATCGGACGGGCCAGAGCACAGTGTGTTTGTGGGCGATCTAGCAGCGGACGTCACGGACCTGCTGCTCACTGAAACCTTCCGCGCGCGATACCCCTCCGTGCGAGGCGCCAAGGTGAGATGAGAGGCAGCGAGGGGCCATGGTGAGATGAGAGGCAGCGAGGGGCCATGGTGTGCTGCTCCATGTAGCAGCGGACGTCACAGACCTGCTGCTCTTCTGCTCACAGAGACCTTCCGCGCACGATACCCCTCCGTGCGAGGCGCCAAGGTGAGACGAGAGGCTTGCGGTGGTAGTGTACACGAGTGCGGTTTCATCTATTCTTTCTGTGATTGCCAAGAAAAGAGCAGTTGAAAAGTAACCAAGTAACCAGTTTCGGCATCAGTGCTGCCCAGCACCAAGGTGGGATGAGGCGCCAAGGTTGAGGCCTGTAGTGATGAAGGCTCGCAAGTATCGAAACTAGTTCTCTTACATGAGTTCTGATTCTTTTCTGAAAGAATTGTTTTGTTCAAGCTGGCTCTTTGAAACGACATTCCACCACGTCTGTCCCTCAAGGGTTCAGAAGAGAATACTCCGAACCAGGCTTGCCGGCGCGAAAGTTCTGGTTGGCAGAAATTCAGAATATCGTGCTGACACTTCTCTTTCGCAGTAGCATTTCCGCCAGGATTCAAAGTTTCGGGTGTCACATGGGGACTGTCGTTTTAACAAACAGCCAAGCTCTCAAACCTAACCCAAGCTCCCTTCACTCACCCAACCCATGGGGTTTGTCTCGTTGTTCTGAAACACACGAGTTGATGGAAGTAAGTAAGACCTCCACAGCCCACCTGTCCGCTAATGGCAAGGCCGTTACCAAGGTGAAATGACGCGCCACGGTGTGCTGTAGAGATCAATGTTGAGAATTCTCACACATGTGATTCCACCAAGGTGGGATGAGGCGCCAAGGTGTGCTGTAAATTCCGGCCTGACCCTTGGTCTTGTCGCAGACCTCTCCCCTCCCCCCACTGGCTCCCCCTCCGCTCTCCCGCTTTTCTCTTTCCCATGTTCCCCTCTCTCTCTCTACTCCTTTTCTCTTTCCCATATTTCCCCTCTCTCACTCTACTCCCTCTTCTCTCTTTCCCATATTTCCCCTCTCTCTCTCTACTCCCTCTTTTCTCTTTCCCATATTTCCCCTCTCTCTCTCTACTCCCTCTTCCCTCTTTCCCATATTTCCCCTCTCTCTCTCTACTCCCTCTTCTCTCTTTCCCATATTTCCCCTCTCTCTCTCTACTCCCTCTTTTCTCTTTCCCATATTTCCCCTCTCTCTCTCTACTCCCTCTTCTCTCTTTCCCATATTTCCCCTCTCTCTCTCTACTCCCTCTTTTCTCTTTCCCATATTTCCCCTCTCTCTCTCTACTCCCTCTTTTCTCTTCCCATATTTCCCCTCTCTCTCTTCTCCCCCTTCTCTCCCAGGTCGTAATGGACAACACCACAGGGCGCAGCAAGGGGTACGGTTTTGTGCGGTTCGCAGCGGTGGAGGAGAGGGACCGTGCCCTGGGGGAGATGAGTGGGCAGTACTGCTCCTCGCGCCCCATGCGCATCTCCATCGCCACGCCCAAGAAGGCCGCGGCCTCCTCCTCTTCTGCCTCCTCTGCTGCTGCTGGCTCGTCTCCTGCTACGGCTGGTGAGATGGGGCCTGGAGAGAGGGGTCTGGCGGGGATGGTGTGGGTTCTGGTTGGTTGTGGAATGGCTTTGTGCATGGGGCCGGTCTGGTACTGCTGCATGTGCTTTGCGTGCCTGCTACATCGGTGCGTGGAGAGGAGAGAAGAGGAGAGGAGAGGGACCGTGCGTTGGGGGAGATGAGTGGGCAGTGCTGCTCCTCGCGCCCCATGCGCAGCTCCATCGCCACGCCCAAGAAGGCTGCTGCCTCCTCCTCTGCGTCTTCCTCTGCTGCTGCTGGCTCCTCGCCTGCTACGGCTGGTGAGATGGGGCTTCGGCTGGTGAGGTGGGACCTGGTGGGGGGGCTGTGGTAGGGCTGGTTGGTACTGCTCCTCGCGCCCCATGTGCATCTCCATCGCCACTCCCAAGAAGTCCGCTGCCAATTCCTCCGCCTCCTCCTCCACTGTTCAATGCCTCTATCCTCACTCTCCCCTCCCCCACTTTAATCCCCCTTTTCCAACTCTCCACACCCTTTTCGCCACTTCCGTCTCCACTTTCATACTCCCTTCATCCCTTTCCCTGCTCTCCCACCTCCCCGGTTCCCCTTTCTCCCTTTCCGAGCACCTTTGCCCGGTGAGTGAACCAAACCATAAGGGGTTGAGGCGCCTCACAAGTCCTCTTTGTCCCCTTTGCTCCCTTTAAACCGAACCATCAGGGCTGCTGTCGCGAGTGCCAGTGGGAGTGACACCACAGCAGGCGCAGTTGCCTCACCAGCAGCACCACCACCACCAGCAGCACCATCAGCAGCAACAGCAACAGCAGCAGCAGCAGCAGCAGCAGCAGGGCGGGGGGCACGGGCACGGGCATGGGGGGGTAGACGATCCTTCCAACACCACGGTAAGATATGGGGAGGGCGGCACGGGTATGGGGGGGTAGACGAGACGATCCTTCTAACACCACGGTAACAAGAATCTCCTCCTGAAATCCTTCCTGAAAATAATCTCTGACCCACTTTACAGAAATTGGCACTCACAATTTGTTTTCTCTTCTCCTACTCAACCTTTCTCTATCCCTGATCTGATCCCCCGTATCAGTCTCATCCCCCACCCGGTTCAATCACCCCCTTCCTGTGTCTCTTCGACTCTTACGCACTTCCAGTCCCTTCTCCTGCCAACTCCCTTCCTACCAGTGCCCCTTAGGTGCTTGTGGTGTGAGTGGGCTAGACGGGAGTGTGAAAAGAAAAGTAATCTGATAGCATCCTCCTTGAATCGAATCGACTCTTGTTGTTGCATCGGCTCTTCCACAACCAGTTTTGAGACGTCTCAGAACCTTGAATCGACTCGACTTTTGTTGTTGAATCGGCTCTTGTTGAATCGACTCTTGTTGAATCGGCTCTTCCACAACCATCAACTGGTTGACTCTTTCCCACACCCCACTTCCACTTCTCCTGCCAACTCCCCTCCTGCCAACGCCCCACAGGTGTTTGTGGGGGGGTTGGACGCGAGTGTGACGGAGGAGCAGCTGAGGAGCGTATTTGGAGCCTTTGGGGAGCTGGTATACGTGAAGATACCCTTTGGCAAGGGCTGTGGCTTTGTGCAGTTCCGGCAAAGGTACTGAGAGCGGTGGAGAGCGGTGAGGAGGTTGTTGGGTGGGTGGCTGTGGGTTACTGAATGGTGGTGCGGAGTGGAGAGTGGTAATGTTCGGCAGGTTCGAGAGGTTTCTGTGAGGATTCTCAGCAAGGGTGAAGAGATCGAGAGGGAGACAGCAGTGCTGGTCTGGCCTGGGGTATGTATTATGTATTGAGTCAAGTCGTGTTTTGAGAATGATCGGCCAGCAAGCGAGCAGGTCTCAACCAACCTCTCTTCCTCTCCCGCCCGTCCCCTCCCTCCCCACTCCACCTTGTCGCCCCCCTCTCATGCACCCACCAGAGCACACGCAGAGGAGGCCATTCGCAGGCCAGCAGGCCAGCAAACGAGCAGGCCTCAACCAACCACTCTTCCTCTCCCTCCCTCCCCTCATGCACCCCTCCCATCAGAGCACATGCAGAGGAGGCCATTCGCAGCGTGCACGGCACCATGATCGGCCAGCAGGCAGTGCGGCTGTCTTGGGGGAGGAACCCCACCGGCAAGGTGAGGAGGGTGCACACAACACAACACAGCAAACGTGAGGGCCAGCCAGCCGCACTGCCTGCTGGCCCAGCCTTTGAAACGTGCTGTTCTTGAGACGTCTCAAAGGCCAGCAGGCAGTGCGGCTGTCCTGGAGAAGAAACCCCACCGGCAAGGTGAGGGGTGCGGAGCGATGGGGGGGGTGAGGGAGGGACTGGGGGGAGGTGTGAGGGGCGCCTGGCAAGGTAATGGGTGCGTGGTAGGTGAGGTGAGTTTTGAGATGTCTCAAAACACTGCTCCGCGTGCTCCTCCTTGACCACTCTGCTCTCCTCTCCCTACTCCGTCGTTCCCGCTTCTTCTCTTTGCTTCTGACCTTGCTTCTCTATGCAAGTCTGCTCTACCTCTCCTCCTGACTTGACCTGTCTCTTTTCCCTGTGTTCCTCCTCATTCCCTCCCCGTTCCACCGTCGTTCCATCCTCGCCTCCTATTCGTTTCTTCTTTGCCTCTTCGTTTCCCCCAACCCCCTCTCCCCCCCCTCCACCACCCTCCAGCGGCCCCAGCAGCAGTCCTCAGGAGGGCAGCAGCAGAAACAGCAGCAGCAGTCGCAGCAACAGCAGCTTCAGCAGCAGCAGCAGCAGCAGCAGCAGCAACAGCAGCAGCAGCAGCAGCAGCAGCAGCAGCAGCAGCAGCAGCAGCAGCAGCAGCAGCAGCAGCAGCAGCAGCAGCAGCAGCAGCAGCAGCAGCAGCAGCAGCAGCAGATGTGGGGAGCGGCAACAGATCCCAACATTGCAGCAGCGGCTGCATGGGGCCAGCAGCAGCAGCAACAGCAGCAGCAAGTGGCAGCTGCAGCTGCTGCTGCTGGGTTCTACCCGGCCCAATACGGGCCCCCTCCTGGGGCGTTTGATCCCAATGCTCCTGGGTTCGATTCCCAGGTGTGTCTTTCTATTGTGTATCGTGGTTTGGTCATTGATGCATGACCATCGCTTGTCATCTTTTGGAAAGACCCATATCAAACATGATAGATGGAGAGCAAGAGGAGAATCGGACCCCCTCTCCCGCCTTCTCTATTGACTTTTGAAACGTCTTAAAAGACAGGTCACAGGACAGAACTACCTCTTCCACCTTGTCTTTTGAGAAATTTCACAAGTGTCTCCCACCCTCTGTACCTTCCATTTGCTCTCCCAGGCAGCAGCAGCGTACGGCCTACCCCAGGACCCAACAGCCGCAGCAGCCGCAGCAGCAGCGTACATGGGCTACGCTGCAGCAGCAGGTTACAATATGTACGGTGCTGCTCCTGCTGCTGCATACGCACATCCAGGCATGGGTGCCCAAATCCCTGCTATGTCTGCCATGCCCCACCAGCATGCCTTGGCTCTGCAGCAGCAACTGCAGATGCAGCAGCAGCAGGTGCAGATGCAGCAGCAGCATCTGCTTCTGCAGCAGCAGCAGCAGCAGCAGCAGCAGCAGCAGATGGGGCAGCAGCCGCAGCAGCAGATGGGGCAGCAGGTTGTGGGGGGGGGTCCGCTAGATGCGGGGCAGCAGGGGGAGGAGCAAGAGCAGCAGGGGCAGCAGGGGCAGCAAGGGCAGCAGGGGCAGCAGGGGGGACAGCTGGTGGGATCGGGGGGTGAGGTGGTGGGGATTTCGGAGCAAGGCGGGGAAGAGAGGCAACAGGGGGGAGGAGCAGCATTGGAGGTACGCCCTACCTAGCTTGTGCAGAATCCTTCGAAATGAACTAGCTTTTGCACAATAGGTTCATGAGAATCCAGCGAGCAGCAGTGAGAATCCAGCGAGAAAGTTTAGCAGTCTGCTTTTTTTACAAAAGCTTCATGAGAATCCAGTTTTGAGACGTCTCAAACCTCAACCTAGGAGCCAAGTAGCTTTTGTAGGTCTCTATGAGAACCCTCAAAGGAGGTATTCCTTGTTTTGCATTGTTGTCATCATGCATTGTTGTCATCATGCATTGTAGGTTCTTTGAGGGAATACTCAAGTTTCTTGGTGATGGCATGATGGGATGCTGAAGCGATGGGTTGAGGGGGTGATGAAGCTGGGGAAGGACTGTTGAGGGGGTGATGAAGCTGGGGAAGGACTGTTGAGGGGGTGATGAAGCTGGGGAATGTTCTCTCCCCATCATCCCTTGCTATCTCCTTATCCGTGTTCTCTCCCCATCATCCCTTGCTGTCTCCTTATCCGTGTTCTCTCCCTGTCATCCCTTGCTATCTCCTTATCCGTGTTCTCTCCCCATCATCCCTTGCTGTCTCCTTATCCGTGTTCTCTCCCTGTCATCCCTTGCTATCTCCTTATCCGTGTTCTCTCCCTGTCATCCCTTGCTATCTCCTTATCCGTGTTCTCTCCCTGTCATCCCTTGCTATCTCCTTATCCGTGTTCTCTCCCTGTCATCCCTTGCTATCTCCCCATCCTTGTTCTCTGCCTATCCTCCCGTGCATTCTTCCCTGCGGGCCCGCTTTGTGTGTAAACGTGTGTGTGCGTGCATGTGCATGTGTGTGGGTGTTAATGTGTGTGGGTGTGGGCGTGTGGGTGTGACTGCATGTGCATGTGCATGTGCATGTGCATGCGCGTGCATGTGTGCATGTGTGAGCAGAGTGGCATACAAGCAACGGGATGAGCCGGGCATATCCAATCCAACGAGGTTGGTACGTGCTAACTTTGCTGCTTCTAAGGGGTGCATGACTGCTTCCCAGACGTCTTAAATCTCGCTCGTTGCTCTATGAGGGGCATAGCATAACCAAGCATCGCTGAACGAATTTGAGCATATCTCGCTACTCCCATCCCCATGAAAGTGTGCCCTTACTTACTCTGTGCCCTTACTTACTCTGTGCCCTTACTTACTCTGTGCCCTTACTTACTCTGTGCCCTTACTTACTCTGTGCCCTTACTTACTCTGTGCCCTTACTTACTCTGTGCCCTTACTTACTCTGTGCCCTTACTTACTCTGTGCCCTTACTTACTCTGTGCCCTTACTTACTCTGTGCCCTTACTTACTCTGTGCCCTTACTTACTCTGTGCCCTTACTTACTCTGTGCCCTTACTTACTCTGTGCCCTTACTTACTCTGTGCCCTTACTTACTCTGTGCCCTTACTTACTCTGTGCCCTTACTTACTCTGTGCCCTTACTTACTCTGTGCCCTTACTTACTCTGTGCCCTTACTTACTCTGTGCCCTTACTTACTCTGTGCCCTTACTTACTCTGTGCCCTTACTTACTCTGTGCCCTTACTTACTCTGTGCCCTTACTTACTCTGTGCCCTTACTTACTCTGTGCCCTTACTTACTCTGTGCCCTTACTTACTCTGTGCCCTTACTTACTCTGTGCCCTTACTTACTCTGTGCCCTTACTTACTCTGTGCCCTTCCACTTTTGAGAATTCTCAGAAGTGATTCCCATGACAACGTGCCCTTCCATTTTTTGCACGCTCTAAAATTTGACCATAGCGTGACTCCCATCCCATCACAGTGTGTGTGCGTCTCGTGGCTGTATGTCGCTCCAATCTATCATTCTCACTGCACCCCCACACCCACTAATCACAGTGTATTGTCCTGGCTCGTTACATTTCTCTTCCAACTCACATGCTGTCCCCACACACGGCATGCTCTCTTGCCAACTTGCATGTTTTGCTGAATCACGGCAAGCTGTGCTGTGCTGTGCTGTGCTGTGCTGTGTTGTGCTCCCCAAACCTTACAACCCCAGCTCCAGTAATGTGCAATTCCTCTCCTCCTTCCATTGCGCCCTTTGCCAGTCGCACACATGCAGACAAAAGGACCCACTCTGCTCAGGCTCAGTAGCACATGGCATTCGAGTGCCGCATCGCATTACCTCAATAGATGGGATTGTAGACAGGAAGTGGTGTAGTTCCCCTTTGGCTGTTGGGGTACCTTTACCGTGTTAGGCTTGGGAATGGGAAGGGTAAAATGACCCAGCCCAGCCAAGTCAAGCCCAGCACTGGTCCCCCACCCTTGGGCTTATTGACATGAATTGCGAGGGGGGATAATAATCACCAAATGGTTACACTCACATCAACATGATTCTACCACCGGGTATGGGATTCTACCCATACACAATTGAGAGTCGTTCTTTCGATAGCATTGTTGCTTGTGTACGCCATAAAGCAATCCAACAAACGCTCATACATTTGTCGTGTGTACTTTGTACGGTATTGTAGGCTAGCTGGGTTGAATGTAGACGGTATGGGACGTTAGATATACTCGCTTGTGTATATCTTCATGTCTCTTTCATTGATTAATTAGCATGGTATCAAGAGTAGGTTCGGTCCCTCGCTTCCGCCGCACCAACCTCCCTATCTGCCTCCTCATTAGCGACCCCCTCTAGCGGCCCCCTCTAGCGGCCCCCTCTAGCGGCCCTACCTAGCGGCCTCTTCTAGCACCTCCCCGCCGCAGGCCCCGTCAAGACCTTGCCGCGGCCCCGCCGTCGCGACCTTAGGGCGCGTAACTTTTTCACTTTTCATCGTCCGGACGGAGGCCCCGTCCGGACTTTTGTAGGGTTACAAAATTTGTAAAAGTTCGTCAACAAGTTCGCAAGACCCCTCGCGACGTCGCAATCGTCCGTATGAAGTCTGACACTTTTCTGTCAGTTCATCGTCCGTTCTACGCTGCTGACACCGTCCGGACAGCATTTCGGACCGTCCGGAACTCTTGCAACGTCATTGGTGCGTGAGGCACATTTTTCAGGTACAAATTTCCCACTCCAACTTTCAATTTGTTTGTGTTGTACTCACATTATCGCGAGCAAGAGGACAAAGTGGTTGGAAAGCTCAAACATTACGGAGCCGCAAATCCATGCTTGCGAAGTAGGTGATGTGCTGACGAGGTAGGTAATGCGCGTTACTGTTTCGCATGATTTTCAAATCTCGAAACTGCAAAAAAGTGTCACAAATGTGGTACGGACGCTTCATCGTCCGAACCACATCCCCATCCGTCCGGACGGAGCTCTGTTCGGACGTTTTGGGGGCTCCGTCCGGACATTTGACTAAAAGAGAAAAAGTTACGCGCCCTTACCACCGCGCTTGCCGGCCGCACTTGCAACTGTGCCAACCGCTACTGCCCGTTGTCGCGTCTGCAGCTACTGCACGTCGCCGCGCCTGCAACTGCTGCCCGCCGCCGCGCCTTCCGGTGGTCGCTGCCATCGCTCCTGCAACTAGGTCCTACTACTGCCCTGCCGCAGTCCTACTACCGCCCTGCTGCGGTTGTGTCGCTGCGCCGCCTGTTGTGCCGCCTGCTGTCTGCCGACCTGCTTCTGACTGTCTCCTCCTCCACCTGTGGTTGCACCCTCTCATCTGCTGCTTCTGCTCACTCTTGTCATGGCGTCTGAGTTCGTACTGCGGCTTAATACGGAGGGGCATGCAATCTACTCTGATGCATGGCTACTCAACGTCAAGCTCCACCTGCGTCAATCTCCACCTGCGGCCAGCGCCAGGACGACATTTCCCTATGCGCCCACATGTCGGGTGAGATACCTGTCCCACAGCATCCTGCTGCTCTTGCTACTGTGCCTACGCTGGAGGGGCGGGAGGTCACCGTGTGAGCCCAGTTGCGTACTCAATTTGGGAGTCGTGTGACGCCGCTGCATGCCTTGCTCTTAGTCGCATCCTGCCGTCGACCGAGCGACCCAGACCAAGACGGCGAAGGCATGTCTTGATTGCTCGCAACCCCACCCCCTCCCATGCTAGTCTAGGGTACTCTCCTGATGCCTTCCCTAATCTCCTTGCTTTCTCCACTGTCGCTGACCTCACTACCCAACTGCGCTCAAGCAGCGCTAACTTCCGCGCTGCTTGCGCTACTCACGACCTTGCTGAGCATGCCCCCATGTATGCCACCTTGCACTTCCCAGCGTCCCGCCTCCCAGAACGCATCGCGCCTGCTCGCGACGCCCTCCTCGCCATGCACCCCATGCTGTCTCCTGTGTCGCTTGACCCGACTCCTACCTCCCACCACTAGGTTCGTCGTCCCTTTCGTGCTCGCCCCGTGTCTCCCCTTCTCTCGCGTCTCCCGTGCTCCGCCACCCTCTATTCTCCTATCGCCTTGTTTGTCGTCCCTTGCAGTCTCCTCCCCTATGTTCTCTAACTTTCTTCTTGCCGCTCACCCTATAGTCTTCCGTGTCATTCTCTTCCTCGTTACCAAACCCACTGCTCCTCCTCCATCCATCTCTGCTCTTGTCATTGCTGTAGCTGGATTTGCCTCTACCCGACGCCTTGATTACGCCAATAATATGTTTTCTGCTCCTACCCGCTCTCCTTCCTTCGGTGGTGTATTTACCCTTAGTATTGATGTCATGGAGGATAGGCGGTACGAGCTGGCTTTCCCTGCAGCTGCTGCCCCTCATTTCTGCCCCATGCTTCTACCCCCTTAAAGCGACTGAACGCTGATGACATTCCAACCTCTCGCACACACGTTGAGTCAGTCTCGAAATACCGTGTCTCTCACTGGATAGCAGCCATGGACGCAAAGATGGCATCTTGAAGGTCCACACACACTTCGAAGTAGTCCCCCCCTCTTGGGGCGAAGGTAGTCGATGTCATGTGGATCTTCAAGGTGGAGTGGCACATGAAGAGTCGCCTGTCTTAAAGACTTGTTACGTGGCTGGAGACTTTGGTCCGCGAGAACGGGTGGACTGATTTTGGAACTTCTCCCCCACCCCGAAAATGACATCCGCAGCACAGTGCGACTTCAAGCTTCACGCACTTGACTTCTCTATTGCCTTTCTCCAGGGTAGCCTACTCGAGCAGATGTTTTGCCGACACATTGCTTCACTGTGTTTTTTCCCCATGGGACCCGGTGGAGACTTCGATGGCTTGTACACGGTATATGCGAGGCTTGTTGTCAAAAACTGAATTGTGTGTTGCATTGGTGTGGGTTGGGGTACATATGCCTAACCCTAACATTTGTACCCCACAAGACAAGCCTCACTACAGGCTACAACATTTGACACACCCCCATAGCCAAAGTGAGGGGTGTCAAGCAAAAAAACCAAAATAGTACGGTCACAAGACTAGTCACAAAGAAACAAAGCTAAGGGTGGATCACAATGTCACCACACATTCCGAGCACAAGCAGAATGGCCAGAAGGCCTGTTTAAGAGTTCACAGGTGTATAAGCAACGGGTACAACAAAAACAAGCAACGTCTACACAAGACGAGAACCAGTGTCAACGAGACCTAACTGCACACAACACCTGTGGTGGTCACAAGGCGGAAGCGCCTTGGTGAAGATGTCTGCAGTGTTGGTCTCAGACTCCACAAAGTCCAAGCGAGCCTGTCCACGCCTCTGCAACTCTCTTAGGAGAAAGTACCTGACGTTGATGTGCTTCACTCTGCTCTCCAGTCGAGGCTCCCGACAGAGAAGAATCGCCGCCTTGTTGTCAATGAACAAGGTCGGTGCACACCAATGTCTGTGAGCAAGAAAGTCAACCAACGCAGCTCCTGTGCAGCCATGGCTCTAGCGTAGACCTCAGCCTCAGCGGTAGAGGTCGAGACCGAGGAGGAGCGCGTGGACCTCTACAAAACAGCTCCAGAGCCCAGGCTGAAATAGCAACCCTGAGTAGACCTGTGGGTCTCGGTGTCGTCATCGTAAGAAGAGGCACAGTGATCAGTAAGGACGGCCGGCTGTGTCCCTCCAAGTACCAACCCCATGCCTGATGTCGTCGCTAGGTACTTCACCATCCTCACAGCAGCGGTCCAG